ATAGAATACAAAGCAGTATCGTGCTGCTATCATTGAACTCAATGATGATATACAATTTTCTACTACTTCCCGGCACTTTATGTCTGTTGTTTTTGGTATTTGAGTTGCTTTTGTGATTTAAAAACTTAAACAAGTTAATGATCCTCTGAAAACAAGGTGTAGGCGTGGATGTAAACTTTATATGAACACACACACCAACACTCCATCCTACACTCATCCTCATCCACACCCACATCTCATACCGAGAAGAGGAAAAGAAAAAACTATATGGAATCGTGATTCGACTAATGTTGTTTCACCATTTGTTTATATAATTTAGTATTTTTAATTTACGTTAGTTCTGTAATAGAAGGAAACATTTGAATTTTTTTCAATTCTAGATTAGATAAGACATACATATATGGCGACATCTGTGATTGTAAATCGTCGTTTATTGGAAAGTGTTCGTGATGAACCAAAGAAAATGCTGCTTCCTATATCTGGCTATGAGAAAGTTAATGTTAAAACTCTTGATGAAGCTTGTGATCCGATAAAGCATATGTTCGGTAAAAAGCTGCAACAATATATTACTATAGCCAAAATGAATTCAACTGAACCCAAGGATGGGCTCAATCCAGATGAATCAGCGGCCATCCATCTATATACTATAGAATGGGATGTACATGAAAATAGTCTTTACATGATATTAAATCGAACTCTTCGTCTGGCTGATCGCACAAAACTTCAGCCATGGTTCAAGTATTTGAAGCTGTTCTTTACAGCTTTTTACAAATTGCCGTGAGTAAAAAAAAAATTGATTTTACACTTAATATTTTCAAATTTTTCGTGTAATAGACATAGCCAATATACACTTGTTTGGCGTGGTGTACGTGAAGATCTTAGTGATCTTTATCCAAAGGGCAAGGAATTCGCTTGGTGGGCATTCAGTTCGTGCACTGCTTCAATGAGTGCCCTTGAATCACCAAATTATTTGGGAAAATTAGGTGCAAGAACAATGTTCTCTATTCAAACTAATAGTGGAAAAGATATCCGTGCTCATTCATATTTTGAAAATGAAGATGAAATTCTTCTTCCTCCAGGTATTTATCTTAAAGTTATTGATAGCTTGAATCCAGCTGAAGATTTACATATTATTCATCTTCGTGAAGTTTCGCCACCATATCAAATGATTGCTGAACCTTTTGATCTTACTCAGCTAAAGCAAACTTTACCACAACCAAAACCAATCTTAAGCAAAGAGCAAGACATCTATCCATCATTCAATGTTACACCAAAACCATCTGTACAAGCACTTTCAAAAAATAGCAAGTTACCTTTACTTTTGTTGAAGATGAGATATTTTTTAAAGAAAATTTTGCTTATTATGTAAGAGATTTTACTAGAACATTAACTTTGAGCATCGATGCTTGAGAGATCACAGTACATTTTAGTCAAATAGATCTAATCTCGTTGGTTTTCATTGTCTGCCCTTATTTACTAGAGAAAGTTTGAAACTGACTTACGAGGGAACATTCCCAAGTGATACCCGCTGTTTCAGCTCATATTGTGCCCAAAAGTAGATCTCGGTAAGACTAGAGAAAGTCTAAAAGGGTTCGTGCCATTGCGTCTTTGGAGCCGAGTTATGCCTAATTTACTGAATTTTCGGCCCTTTTTAGGGTACTGATCGAAAAATCAAATTACAAAGTTTCCATCTGAAATTTCTCACATAGATAGATATAGTTACACCTAGAATATCCTGAAAATTTCAGCCGAATAGAATGTTCCTTTGTCGAGTTATTGCATTTTCAATTAAACTCGACTTTTGTGAAATATCTGTCGCAAATGACTATTTTTTTGGAGATCCAATATCTCCACATAGGAACATTCTATTCGGCTGAAACTTTCAGGATATTCTTGGTGTAACTATATCTATCTATGTTAGAATTTTCAGATGGAAACTTCGTAATTTGATTTTTCGATCAGTCCCCTAAAAAGGGCCGAAAATTCAGTAAATTAGGCATAACTCGGCTCCAAAGACGCAATGGCACGAACCCTTTTAGACTTTCTCTAGTCT